CCTCGGTACATCCCCTGGAAATCCTCTCATGTGTACGCCATACATTTAGAATAATTTTCGTGATGAACCGTTTTACGTATCTAAAAAATCTACGTATCTAAAATACTTTTCGAGATATACTTATCTTGGACACACTGTATATATTTTTTTTAAATTTTATTTGAATGGTAAAAAGAAAGTTAAAATTTTGAACGCTATTATCTCCGAAACTTTTAAATATATAAAAAAAAAAGATGAAGCACCATTTCGACTTACATTTACTAGAGGGATATAAAAATTTACAGGGTGTTTTTTATTTAAAATAACAAAATTAAGGTTACTTTACTACCGGAATTGTTATTTATGTTAGAGCGATCTCCCACTTTATTACGAGCTTTATTATATGTATAACTACACAAAATTTCTCAAACCTCTACAATTTATTGGCTAGTAATATAGTTTTTGTTGAATTCAAAAGGATAAAAAAAAATCAAAACCATTTAAAAAAATTATATGGGGTTATCGAGAATCGAACTAAGGCGCGCCAACCCATATCAAATCTTGCCAGAGCTGTAACAATCTCGGCTATTATTGTGCCTACAACAATTCGCCGTTACTTTTATTATACAGGGTGAGTCTTAAATAGGTGCAAATATTTTCAGGGCTGGTAGATCTCGATAAAAGAGACATATTTTTTCTTTACCATTTTTCAAATAAGTCCAAAATAACCGAGTTATTTAAGTTTGAAAATTTAAAAAAAAATTGATTTTTTTTAATTTTGATAGCCACCTGAATTTTTTCTGTATTTGCATCCCTTTTAGTGCCGTAACCATAGAGTAAAGCTGTAACTATGGTAATATCAGAGATTAAGAATTTATAACGTGGGAAAATTAGCGGTGAACAGGCAGTTCTAAAAAGTTTTCGAAAAATATACAGGGAAATTTAAAAGAAAATGCACGATTTTTAACATATTTTATTTGCAAAAAAAACATCATAGACGTGTTCCTGGGGTCAAAATATACCACCCCTGAAAATATTTGCACTTATTTAAGACTTACCCTGTATAACAGCAGTTTATGCCTCGGTTTATGCAGTTTATGTCGGCGGAAAAAATAACTTAGTCATGCGTAAAGCCCTATATTATGTGCAAAGTTATCAATCTCGTGTTTTGAACCCCAAATAAAAATGAGATCTAGTAGCTACCGAGGATCTACTTTATAAAACAGACCTAAAAATAGGCAACGTTAAAGGCATTCGCATTTATGAACTTCGTTTTTGACGTATAGAGGGTACAATAATAATTATTTACACACACTTCCCTTTAATTCATAACGCTTACGGCACTATGCAATAAGATATGAACACACATGCCAAACACATTTTTGCATAAACTTATACCAGAGATATGGATTAAAGGCTATATATCTGACTTATACATACATTTTGCGAGATATTTTGAGGTTATGAGTAGGGGTGAGCCACAAAGCCTTGAGTTATATATATATACATTATAGATATTATATATTGATATTTTTATCGATATATCAAATAAAGGTCCATTTTCACTCTCATGAAATTTGTGCAAATCGGCTTTTGAAAATCGGCTTGTGCAAACTTTATTTAATAAATTCATTGAAAAAAACGGATGTGCACAAGCTAATTCACATACGTGAAAACCAAGTAACGATATATTCGTCCACAAATATCGATATAGCTATCGATATAACAGATACCGCTATATCTCTTTATGAATACTGCATATCGGAAATATCTATATCTATCTATATTCTCAATAATCCTATTTGATTTCGTACAGGGTGGTTGTAAAATATTGAATAAATATTAACATCTCGAGAACCACATTTTTTTGGAAATCGCTCGGCCACATCAATTATTTTAATTTTTCCGAGGCAGATTATGCAAAAAATGAATGTTATACAGGGTGTCTCAAAAATGCTTTGTCCAAAACAATTTCTTTTAATTGAAACCCTCGTGGCAACATAATTATTATTTCTCTGCATTTTTGAATTGTCCTTGAAATTCTGAATATTTTCCATGTAAGTGCTATACCCAAATCCAAGCTTTTTGGAGTTAATCTCATTTAAAAATTAAAAAGTGAAAAAAAATATTAGAAAAAAACCTTTTTTAAGAAGATACCGAAGAGGATACCTTATGGAAAATGTATTCAAAAGACAACCCACAAATTTGGATGACTTGAAATATCGCATTCGGCAAATTACGCCCCAAATAATTCGAAATACATCCCCGGTAAATCCTCGGTACATCCCCTACATCCTCTAGTACATCCTTGGTACATCCACTACATCCTCGGTACATCCCCTACATCCTCTAGTACATCCTCGGTACATCCACTACATCCTCGGTACATCCACTACATCCTCGGTACATCCCCTGGAAATCCTCTCATGTGTACACCATAAATCCCCTAAGTGTTCACCCCTCGGAAAAACCATCGAAGGGCGTATTGGGGGTGGTTTTTTGGGGTGAAGCTCACACTTTAAAGTTAAGAACTCTTGTGATTTTGGAAAGTCTCCTTTTGGTGCGTCTAATCTCAACATATCAAAGCTTTAAAAATTTTTTCTTCTATTCGGCTATTTTAGGTCTAATATACTACTAGCCTACAGCGAACGTACGCTGGTGGACTGTTCGATTATGCGGACTGCGATCACGATTCCCAGTCTGGAAAGGGCTTTATAGATTATGGGTGGGCCTCGTTTTTGTCGTAGCTGACAAATAACGCTTGTATAAGGACGGCAAAATGGAATATTTTTAGAATTATTTAAAAAATGTTATGTATATTTAACCCTATTTCCTTGATTTTTTTAGCAAACTGTATATAAATATATCAACATTAATTCGTAATCTCAGTTTCTTATAAACTTTAGCATTTGGCATATAGTACAGGGTTAATCGACGGTTTTTTTTCGCCTCAACTTTAAAACACCCTGTGGAATAATTTCGTGAGAAAATTTTCCTAAATATCATCTTTATTTATTAATTATACTAGCGTGTACCAGCGACTTCGTTCGCGTCGAATTAATCATTTGTAATGGTGATGATAAAGCAAAGCAAGAATTTCCATTAACATACAAGCTGGATAAAATTTTCTCATATTTATGTCAGCATGAGAAAAACAATATGGCGATATTATTATATAACTTGGTAATATTTGAGAGGTAGTTTCATCTCGTTGGAATTTGACTTTCGAAAAATCCGTTTGCCAAAAATAAGCTTTTTACGTCAAGCAGTTTAAGCAGAATCGTGGTTAAGAAATTACCCAACTTTTTGAAACACCCTGTATGATTTTTAAAAAATTTCAAAATATGTAAAAAAACAAATAAATTATGCTTGTCCAAGCATTTTCCCGAAAGACTAACGGTTTTTAAATAACAAATAGTGTAATGTTTGAGGGGCGTTTTCACCCTTTTGGAATTTGAGATTCGAGAAACCTCTTCTTATCGAAGCTCTACACCCCACAGTCAATCCGTTTGCCAAAAATCAGCTTTAAACGTCAAGCAGTTCAAGCGGAATCGTGATTATTTTATGAAACACCCTGTATAAATTTATAAAAAATCTTAAAATATGTAAAACAACAAAATAAAATATACGTGTTTAAGAGTTTTTCCGAAAAACTCACCGGATTTTAAATAAAAAATATTCTAATATTTGAGGGGTGGTTTCACCCCCTTAGAATTCGAGTTTCGAAAAATCCCTTCTTATCGAACCTCTACACCCTAAAGTCAATCTGTTTTCCGAAAATCAGCTTTTTACGTCAAGCGCTTGAAGCAGGATCGTGATTAATCAATGACCAGATTTTTCGAAACACCTTGTATACATTTTTAAGAAATCTTAAAATATGTAAAAAAAACAAAATGAAATATACGTGTTTAAGCGTTTTTTCGGAAACTTGACCGTTTTTTAAATAAAAAATATTGTAATATTTGAGGGGTGGTTTCACCCTCTTGGAACTGGAATTTCAAAAAATCCCTTCTTATCGAACCTCTACACCCTAGAATCAACCTGTTTGCCAAAATTAAGCTTCTTACGTTGAGTGGTTTGAGCAGGATCGTGATTAATCAGTATATATTAGTATAGATTATTTATTGTATTATTGAGTCATGTCTACTGAGCATTTTGTTTTTTTGATCATGTTAATACGTGCTTTTGTTAATTTTTAAGAGCCTAATGAACTGGCCACCAACAATTTGCAATTTTTTCAATTATTATTTTTTTTTTGATAGTAAAATATATGCAGACATTTTCGTGTTGCCTAACAGGATAAATTAATTTACATAGCGACAAAAAAATTATATTAAAGACAAACTAAAATTTAAAACAAAACTAATTATATCGTGAAAATTACAAAACTTTTATTTATTAAATTTGTTATTAAAATAACAAACTGAACTTTAGTATGTTCAGATCTTCATCACAAATTTGAGACACGTGTTTGCGTATCGACAGATTTGATATTTGAAAAGTTATATTAAAAAGAAGTTCTTGAAAAACCGAAGAAATTGTTTTCAGAAAAGTTTGTGAGAGATACACCATCGTCATCTTATTGAACAAAAGGGGATTTCTTTAGTTAAATAACAAATTTTATAATTGAACGATAAACATTTGTTTTCATTATTTTTTATGTTTCTTTCCTATTCATTTCCTCGGAATATATCATAGGATCAAAAAAAAAACGGCGTCAAAGACGGTTGGGGAAGGACAATCGATGATAATTGTATCGAGGTCAAGCCCTAGGCGTTACTACTTGGCCAATAGTGACTCTTCTTTATTCCACAATGGCGTTTACTGCCAGTTGGCCTTAAGAAAATGTAATTATTAGTGTTAAGCTTTGTGTCAAAAATTAACCACTAATTAAACGGCGTCTAGAGATTGGCCTCGCCAAAATTATTATCGATTGTCATTCCCAATTCTTTGACGCCGTTTTTCTTCGATCATACAGTATATACGGTATATTAGAAAAATAACAATTCGTAATATTTTTCAACATATTTATTTATATAAAAAAATATATGTACAATAAAATAGGCACTTAGACTAAATGTTTTTTTAAACGTAAAATCTATAAGATCTAATTGTTCTTAATATCTCTCCATATTTAGAAAAATTTGAGCATTATTTAGCAAGAATTTTGTATCAAAAATAGAGAGCTAACAATCTGGTTCTTGCTCTATTTTTCGGTTAACTCTACCAAAAGGGTTTTTTCTTTATAGCAAGTCTACCATGACCAAACCAAGGAGTGACGTAATACCCATAAACACACCCATGAACATGAAGTTCACCATCAAAGCTATCTCGAATTTCTCTTTTGGAACCAATCTGCAAAAAAAAGTTGATTTTACAATACATTAATTTTTAATTTTATAGATAAACTATAGCTGGGTAACCTACTTAAACGTTTGTAGCATGAGTACGTTCATTAAATACCCTCCAGTCAAATGGTAAGTGCTTAAAATTATACCGTACTGCCAGTCATGTCCGAAAATTATGGGTAAATGCCTGGGTTGGGCTCTGGTAAACATCATTAATGTGCCGTAGAGAGCACTTCTTGTTATAACTATTACAAATAGAAATGGTATTGAGAAAATCTAAAACAAATTATTATTAATAGGTTGGCTTTATGAAAAGGAACGCTCCCTAGTGTAGTATAAAATAAAATCTGTCCAACAAGAGGAGGATACATAACAGTGTCACTTTTTAGATGTCGTCTGTCGAAAACGTCCCTAACTCGCTGGATACACTCTATTTGAGGTTGGGTATGATTTCAACCATTTCTGTTTGCACTATATGTTCGTACCTACCTCATCGTATTTTGAAGACAGTCCTCTACCGACAATATCAGAGCAAGAGCTCAAAAGGAACGACATCACAGTTATAAAATATTTATCTGGAAACAAATATTAATTTAGTATTTTTTATTTATGTACTTTAGCCTAGACTGGTGAAATTTCGGTAATTGTACTATATCTCTGGGACCCACACTAAATTTAAGTAAGTTAATTTAGAGCCTAGAAGAAACATTTTTGTATTATTAAAAACAATTTTAAAATTTCGTGTGGGTGTTATGGCCAGAACCAGAACCATAGTACATCGAAATTCAACCATTAGCAGCCGGTATAATAGAGTATTACCTCCCCATAAACTTCCAGTGTTCTGGTATTCTGACACTACCAAATTAGTGATAGAACCAATCGGTATGACGCTGTTGAAGAGATTTAAAAGAATAAGAGGCCATACCAGTTTGATGGTATCCATTATCTGACCGACCGAGTGGACCTTCTTTTTGGCATCTTCTTTGTAAGAGGTCATGTAAAACCTGAAATTACAATTGGACCATATACAGAGTATCATTTAACTTACTTCAAGTGTTTTTATGGGTAGTACCTATAAGTTTATTTTGATTTTAGAAACACAGCAGGTTTTTTTTTCAAAATATCTTAAAAATAGTTAAAACGTAATGATAAACAAAATCTGTAAATTTACAGAAAAAGTGTAAATTTACGGAAAAAGTTCGACTTTAGTCTGATTTTTGCGAAAGCGTAATAATGTAATGCCTTCGCAGCATTAAAACATATTTTTATTAGTAGTGGGAAGTATCGAATGAATACTATCGAAACATTCGATAGTTGCAATTCATTCGAATAATTCGATAGTTAATAAGAAACCATTCGTTGAAAACTATTCGAATAAAAATTATCGAATAGATCCGTCATCTGCCTTGAAATATTGTATTCTAGTAATTCGGCAGCAAAAACCATTCATTTATAAAATTCATTCATTTATGAAATTCATATATTCGTCAGGATCGATTATAATAAAATATTAACTGAATTTTAGTTGTCGCCCGGCGATGTAGGTTTCTTTCCGAGAAGCCCGACAGCGGTCGGTGGCAATGCTATGAAAGAAGCCGGCATCTTTGATTTTTTGGGGAGTAAGATATAGATAAGGACACATTATTTTTTTTTATTGAGGTGCTAGTATTTACACAGAAAATATATTATGAAGGGCGCTGTTGCCATATTTTGGTATTAGTTGATAGAATATTATTGTTTGCGCGCAAAGAATATTATTGTTTGGCTTTAGTTAGTTAGCGATAGTATGTCTATATATTCTGCATTTTTTTTATTAATATTCTGTTGTTACACTGCAATAATACTTGTTATTTTGGATGTAGGAAAATGATTTTTAATGTTTTTAAGCAAAAACTGGTTTAATAAATAATAATAACAGTAATAATTTGTTATACCTATTAACAACGAGATTAACAACAAAATTTAAAATCATTTAATATAAATATTTTTTTTTAAGTAGTAGCAAAATATAAACAACAAATTAGATGTCAAAATTATTTATACTAGATCCTATTTAAAAATAATATAGTCTCTAAATTTTTTGTGTGTGGCAACGTTGGTTTATTAAATAATAATAATTACAGAACTAATTTGTTATATTAACAACAAATTTTAAAATCATGAAATATAAACATTTATTAATTTTCTAAGCATGCAGTGTAATGGAAGGAAAATATAAATAAAAAATTAGAAATCAAAATTATTTATATTAGGTGCTTTATATTACTATTTAAAAATTATATTTACTTTTACTGGCATTTACTTTAAAAAATAAATGAAATATTTCTTCGCAAAAACTACATGTAAGAGAATTAGCATAAACAAAATACAAACATCGTTAACTTTTTTTTTAAATTGGCACGTGTAAAACTTTCATTTTAATTTTCTCACCCCATAGTTTGAGTTCGATAACCATTTACTTAACCACATTACTTTAATATGATTATTAAGTTCAACTAATTCATATTATTAAAACATCTAAAATACAAATATGTACTTTTAAAATTAATTTAAGTTCATCTCATCTCTCTTAAAAATTGCTACTTCTCAAAATTTCCCATTAAAAAATAGACCATATACCATATAAAATTAAATAATTGAAAGATCGGACTACGGAAAACCACACAACTTTTCGGAAAAATTTTGACCACCTGCACATGCACACAATCGTCAATAAATAAAATTAAAAAATAACTACTATTTTAGTATTTTAACTATTTTAGTAAACGCAAAAATAGCACAGTATTTATACGGTGAAGTTATAAAAATTTGGAAGAACTAATAATGCACTGACGCATACAAAAATCAACGAATAAATCAATAAATAAATGTCATTTATCAAAAAGCATTCGATAGTCGTGGCTCAACGATAACCATTTAGTCGCACGGCGAGGTTGTCACATATGCTTTAGTATACAAATGAATGAATGATTTTATTCGAATAAAACCATTCGATAGTTGAAATCATTCATTCATTAACCATTCGATAGTCTAATTCATTCGATAGTTCCCATCGCTAATTTTTATCAAAAAATTTTATTGGTCTTACTTGAAAAATGATGTCTTGGTGGCGAAAAAGAACATTACCAGACCAGTTCCCATAAGTACGCAACCTGATGAAAAGTATAGCAGAGCTTCTGGTATGGTTTCCGTCATAATTGTGATAGTTATTAGTCTTAAAATTGCCGATACCAACCCACCAATCCCTTGTCCGAAAAGAAACATTTTCATATAACGATCTGGGAACTTGGACATGATTGTCAGGACACCGGTACCAGCAACAGCCATTAGTACTACATGAGACAAAAGACATACAGGGTTTTTTGAGAACCGTTAATACGATTTTTAAAAACAAATTGGATTTTTGCCGTAAAGGCCATCACGTGAATAATCTCTCTAAAAAATATTTTCAGAGTTACAGTGTTGCCGCTTTATACTATAATTGGGGGCATCTTTGTTATTTTAAATGGAACACCTGATATTACATTTTGCGAAACTATTTTTTTATTATGCCAACCTATACCTATTTCTAATAGTTTTAGAGTTAGAAAAATATGTAAAATTGACAAAACATGGTCTTGAATAAGCACTGGTTAAATCATAAATATGCAAATTCAAAGCTGAAATTTGGTTTATAGGTTAAGAAAAATAGACATATATAGATATACAGGGTTGTTCGCCACATAGGACACGGAGTATTGTAGCTAAACGATTAGATTTTTACAAATTGTAAGTTTTGGGTTCGTTGAAGGACTATTAGAGCTACAATTTAAAAATATTTTTACAAGATACAGAGTGTCCCAAATAAATAAAAAATGTCAAAGTTGTATTTTTTTAAATGGAACACCCTGTATATTATTATATTTTTAGTTTCTACTATTAAAATAAAGGTAAATTTAATAAAAGTTTATTACACTTAAACCTTACCGTTTTTGAAATATTTTCTATTTTGTGAAATTGCAGTAAAAATTTTAAGGCTTCTTTTCTCCAAGGGTATCAAAGTTTTTAATACTAAATATTTACTGAAGTTTATTTATTGATCAGTTATTGTGTTGCAATAATAAAAATTATACTACTTTATACAGAGTGTCCAAAAATTTATATTAAATAATTACTAGCTTCAAACGGCAATAACTTGTTTAATTTAAATGGAACATCCTGTATATTTTATGAGAATCAGATGCACAATTTAATTGTCTATCAAATTATATTATGACATTTTTTACCTATAGCTTCAAGTTTCCGTAGAAAATGCATTTTCTTAAAATTTTAATTCATTTATCAATATACCCATGGAATACTGACATTTTAGATTATTTTTAAAGATGTACCAAATTTTTAAAGAGTACAGATACTAATATTGTCGATATAGTTTGTTCATTTCATTAAAAAATAAAAAAAACTGTTTAAATATTTGTTAAAGAGGACCAATTAATATGATTCCAGTATTCAAACTACATTAATTGACTGTTTGCGTTGATTAATAATAATTGTTCCAGAAACTAAAAAACTTAATTTTTTATGTGTATTAGACAGTGTGGTAAAAAGTAACACCTTAAAAAAGATATTTCATTTTTTGACAAATGCTTATTTGTAACAACAGAGACATTCATTTTTATAACTTATTATTATATTGATTTCTGATTCAAATCCACATTTATTTAGAATAATTTATTCACGAACATAATTAAGTATGTAATTAATTAGTACCGTACGGAAATGACTATCGATGACATCTCCCATATAAATTTACATATAAAATGACAGCGATCTTCGTTTCATAGCCAACGCTGACGCCGTTTTTTCTCGATCATACGGTATTTGGGCGGAAATAATGGCGGTATATTTAATTAATAGTATACTCTTTTATGAAGATTTAAATAGTTTTCTTTTTGCATACAAATGGGCTAGTAATAGTATCATTTCGTTAAAAACGATAATATTACTAGCCTGTACATTTTGTACATTTGTTGCTTTAAAAACAATCTAAAATGTCAATATTCCATGGGTATATTGATAAATGAGGTCAAAGTTATAAGAAAATGCATTTTCTACGAAAACTTGAAGAGATAGGTAAAAAGTGGTATAATATAATTTGATAGACAATTAAATTATGCATCTGATTCTCCTAAAATATACAGGGCGTTCCATTTAAATTAAACAAGTTATTGCCGTTTATAGCTAGTAATTATTTAAAATAAAATTTTAGACACTCTGTATAAGGTAGTATAATTTTTATTATTGCAACACAATAACTGATCAATAAATAAACTTCAGTAAATATTTAGTATTAAAAACTTTAATACCCTTGGAGAAATGAAGCCTTAAAATTTTTACTGGAATTTCACAAAATTGAAAATATTTCAAAAACGGTAAGGTTAAAGTGTGATAAACCTTAATAAAATTTACCTTTATTTCAGTCGTAAAATCTAAAATTAGAATAATATACAGGGTGTTCCATTTAAAAAAATACAACTATAGCATTTTTTACTTATTTGGGACACTCTGTATCTTGTAAAATTATTTCTAAATTGTAGCTCTAATAGTCCTTCAACAAACCCAAAACTTAAAATTTTTAAAAATCTAATCGTTTAGCTACAATACTCCGTGTCGTATGTGGTGATCAACCCTGTATATTTATTTATTTATTACAAATCGTTCAAATCAATGGATGTTAAGTGGTATTAATGGTAACATTTCAAATTCAAGCCAATGGAGGTATATCATTTAAAAAATCGAAACATAAGTATAATTTCTGTTCAACGATATGTCATGTTCCTATATCTAAACCTTTTAATTTCTTCAGTAAAATCATTTAAAAGATAATAATTCTATTATAATTGTTTCTATTAAAAAAATGCATCATGAGAAATATTGAAACTAGGTATCAGTAAAATTTTACTTGCCAAATTTTTATCAATTTTACACATTTTTTATCTCGAAAACTATTAGAGATAAGTAGTATGGCTTAGTATAATAGAAGAATTATAAGATAGGAAAGCAGTTTCCAGAAATGTAATAGTATACCAGGTGTTTAATTTAAAATAACACAGGTGCTACCACTTTTCAAATGGTGCGGCAACATTGTAACGCTGAAAATATTTCAGGTAGATGGAGCAGGTGCCTTTATGTAAAAATCCAAATTTTAAGAAATATCCTATTACTGGTTCTCCATCAACGTCTAACCCAGCATTCCCGTAAATCACCCTGTATATTTGAGATTTTTATATTACCTGCCATTAGGATTTGAATTACCATAGTTAGCCCGAAGAATCCCATCTGCCCTATAAAAATAAATAGAAAAACAGTTAATTTTTAGTAGCTATTTCTCGGACATATTTTTAAGAACGGTACTACTGGCGCATTCATTATCATGTAATTTTTACATAAAAAAAGTCTGAATCGTAAAAAAAATTATTAACTAAAAAAATTTAAATTTTTTGTAGGTATGTTAAAGTAGGAAATATTTTCCAAAGAAAAATCCTAAAAAACCTTCATTCAGTTTATCTTATAGACAACATGGTAGAAATCATTGTCTACGACGAGAAAAAAAACTAGTGCGAGTCGGACTTGCCCACATTGTGGTGCGTTTAGACTTGAGCACGCACGAGCTGAGCGTGCGCGCACGGCATTCGTTCGCGCTCTCGGCTCCGTTCAAATTAAAAACTTATTTTTCGACGAATGAAGTGATCCATTTTTGTGCGCGCACAGCAGAGTTGTGTTGGCGAAAATAATGGACGACCAAAAAATAGTCGAGGCTGCAGTCATTGTTATGCATAGCTTAATTATTAAAAAGGAGAAAAATCGAAAACATCGTCGCTGGTAGCAAACCCAAATTTTTAGAAATCGATATAATTTACTGCAACAACTTAGTGTCTGAGGAGGGCTATGATCAGTTCAAAAACTTTACAAGAATGAGCAGAGCCGACTTTGAATATTTACAAAATTTAATAACACCAAAAATTACAAACAAAAGATACAGATTTTAGAATGGCAATTTCATTAATATCGACATATTCAATATTAATTTTATTTACAAGATCTTGCCATGCTTTTTTTTATTTTTTAATAATTCAAAGAATGTTTAACATCCCATAATATAGGCAACTTTTCATATTCTTCAATTAATAATAACGAAGATTCATTGACCCACTCCATAATTTAGTAAAGAAAACGAAAAAAAATCACACACGCACGCACGAACGCAGACAAAACAAATTGCCGGTGCAAACTGAGCGTTCGCGCACATAAAATCCCTTTGAGCACGAACCAAACACCGACACCAGACGGCTCACGTTCGCGGCTGCTCGCGCACAGACATATTCAAAGTAAGCGTGCGCGCACAGACAGATTCAGAGTGAGCGTGCGCGCACAGCCGTTTACACTTGAGCATTCGCGGAGGATCAGTGCGTGCGTGCTCAAGTCTAAACGCTCCATTGGATTTCGTATAATAATATATAATATATTTTTATGATTTAATTACAAATGTTTTGTTTTCATATTTTTCCTATACTCGTAGTATGAGACGGTATTACTTGCCAAACTTCATAGTTCTAGTCAACGGAAAACACCCTATAAATTTTGATTCCTTTGAGAGTGTCTAAATATACTTTTTGCGGCATGAGCGGCTGTATCTTTTTTTGCTACAAGCGACTGTAGACCTGAGTGTATGGTTTTAATTTCATCTTGATACCTCCACGCGTTCCCGAGATAATGACGGACAACACAAAATAATCCTATAACCCTAAAAAACACTAAAAGATATATCTATATATACTTACAAGTGTCTGTATCCACTTTAGCCAGGATAGTTTGGACAACGAAATTGCAAGAAAAAAATATCAATGACATGTAAGCTCTGGTGGTGAGTCTGATTTTGTGAGCCGCAAAAGTCGAAAAAAAGTTACAGATAATTCCGGTAGATGTAGTGGCGATCATGTTGTACGAAGCGTAGTTGGCTTGGATATAGTTCCTGTTTTCTGCGCTGGTATCATTAGAATCAACTGTCCTGAATTTGTACATCCAGTACTGAAAAAAAATCAACCTAATAAGTAAGATTTATTAACAAGCTCATTTAAGTATCTTCCCATACAGCACGTCCAAATGAAATTACGTTTCTACAAGGGAGACACATGAGAAACAAAATATGTTAAAGTGAACCTAAGTGTTCATCTAGTTCTAACATATACATATGAGATACACGCAGGTTTATATTGATAGAATTGTGTGATAGAGTGTTTACTAGTTACATACCGTATGCACTCAAGATTCTAAAGAGTTTTTTGGAACGTAACAAATAATTATTAAAATGATGAAATCTGACGTCGGTATATGAGACATACAATGTATAAGTCATATGTATATCTGATACTTCGTTCATAGTTGTGCCTATAGTACACACCTTGTAAAAATGTGACGTATACACATAATATAATATCTATATAGACACTTTGTAATAGTGTACTGTTGTTTCTACATTCTAGCATGAAATGAAGGTATGCGCACGCGCGGATAGCCTCAGCGTAGATACACCGACTAAGTGTATCTTATGTGTCCTCTCTCCTTTCTCCTTTCTAGGAGTGGTATGTGTTAGCAGCCATTATTGTTTTATCATTCGGAAGCTCTATATAAATGTTCTGTTTGTGTGTAGTTTAAAAGAGATTTTAAGGTAAGCACAAGTTTTTAATTACCTTGTTACACCTTCCTAAGAGTATTATTAATATTATAGCAGCGACTCTTCCCTTACTCGATACCCAATTTACCAAATTTAGACTCCAATGAATGAAAACTCCAAATATTGTCGTATAATGATAAAGAGGTTAGCTCTGCAATATATTTTTTTTTAATTTGGAAATAATAAAAATCTAAATGGACCAGAGCAAGAAAGATATAAACACTTCAAAGAACTTCTTACACTGATATTCGGTAAATTATTGATGGATCAATATACAGGTATGTTTAATATTCAATAATCAGTTTCATATAAAATTTAAGGGTGAGATTGTTAATCTGGAAATAAAATACAACAAAGTCCAACAGAGTGCTCGATGAATGAGTATGCTAACAAACCAACTGCTTGGAGGGAAAAGAGGTGAAAAAAATGACTAAACGAGGTCCACCAAATCGTGGCGATATACCAGTGTTTACCATTTTAGTATGTTGTTATACTAGGTACTTATATTTTTAATACATTTTGATATAAATTTTATTCTTTTACAGTGTTTTCTTACTTCTGGTTTCTGCAGTGTAAATAATTATTATTATTGTGTTATTTGCGCTATTCCGTTCCATGATCCAAAGAAATATAAGATTTTAATTTTTTAACCACTTAATCCATTTTATGGAAGAAAAATGGCACATTTAATACAAAACAAAAATGGAACAATTTTATGGCCACTTCTCTTAAACTTACGATCGAGATACTTTTGGAAAATACAAAGTTTTGCCTTTCTAATTTTCGTTCTAAAAAGATATAATTGGTATCATTGAATAAATATTTCTTAAAAAGAACGAAAAGTTAGGCATCAAAACTTGTATTATTTCCTAAATTCGTTCATAAGAAGGCGTTTTATCTAGCACAAGATGTATATACGAAGCAAAATACATACGTATACACGCGGTAGTCACAACTGCAATGTGTAAACAGAGTTTAAACGTAATACACAAGCACTGTGTATCCTACGGCACACTGTGTATCCCCTACTTTGTATATACGTAAATGCTATACTGTGGCTACATTGTGAGGCGGACGTTTAACCTTTGTGCATACGTGTTGAACTACAATGTGTAAACGTAGCATATTTACATCGGGGGAATTGTGTCACCCTGTGTCTACATCTAATAATGTAAACACATCGTAAATGTGATTTGATGTGCTGTATGGGTTAGTTTGCTTTTTGTTGGGCAAATCTATGGGTGGGCGGCGAGGTGACGACAAAAAACCATTAGGAGCACCAACCACCACCCCCCCCCCCATTCCGTTTAAAATTATTTGAATTATTCGATATTTAGATATTTAATTGTTCTTGAAAAATAAACAAAATGTGCTTTAACTATTTTATTTATAGAGGTGACCAACGGAAAACATATTTTAATTTGAATCAAGCAAAATGTAACATTTATATTTTAATTTATTAATACAATGAATACATAATAATTATAATATGTACGTATAAGAAAAAATGTAAAGGAAAAAAACATAAGTAAAGAAAACACAATTTTCCATAAAAACTTAATCAAAATTCAAATAAATCAAGCTAACTGATTCTGTGGTAACCACCTCTTAACTGACACATTAAGGTAAACATAATTTATTACTTTTCCTTTGATTAAACCGTTTATCGATTTAAAGAGGCGTCGCCCCCCCCCTTCGCCCCTCTTGGGGGTACGCCACTGTTATCACTTAATATCACCTTCAGAACGAGAACTATGTAATCTAATCTCGTAGAATATCACCATACACTAGACTACGTAACATGCTATTTTTTATTATAGATAACAAATTTTAAGTAGTCCTCATATAAATAGAAACAAATAGATTTAAATAGACGATTAGATGCAACTTCGATTGAAATTAATTTTTATCAAATTTAAAGACACTTGACTTCGACTGTGAACGTCAATAATTAGATTAGATAAAATAAGATAATACAAAATATTTGAAATATTCTGGTAAAAAACTGTTTTCAACATTTTGATTTAATAGTCTTGATTTTCGAGGATTTATTTCTCACTGACTATATAGATAAAAATTATTAAAAATTAAAAAAAAATATAGAATAAATAAATTAAAAAAATATAGAAAAAACTTCATCTATTTTATATACAGTCTGTTGCATCGCCGACCTGGATATACATAGGAAACAAGTACATTTTAAAAATGAAGAGTAGGTTTTATTTTACAGAAAAATTTATTTGAAACTTTTTAAATATCTTCTTATAATGAAGTTTTTTTTTCATTATAGTCATATATAATGAGCAGGGTGCCCGGTGGCGTAGAGGTACTGGCTCTCGTCTACCAATCTGAAGGTAGTGGGTTCGAATACCACACCCGGCATTTCATCAGCCGACTATTTTTATTAAAATAAAAATAGTTTGGGTACCTAGGTCGACTCAGCCTTAAATGAGTACTTGGGATTCACAATCCTGAGGTAATAATAGGCGGTTGAAGCGTAGTGCTAGCCACATTACCTTCTTTGTATACCAATTTCAATTCAATTTCAAACAGTCTTTATTAATTACCTGTTAGTTATATTGCAGCGCTTTTCTAATAATATGTCGCATGGTGGCAAGCAACTCTATGGCCACATGGCCGTTAGTTGTATACCGAACGGCTCTAGTATGGCAAGCTGTACCTTGCTACTCCCAAGGCGTTAAACGCTATATACGGGAGCTATTATTATTATTATTATTATAATGAAGCAAATTGTTAATTTTGAATTATTTATACGAATTCGTTCTTCAGTTATGAGAAATACAAAAATACTAAACTAATAAAAAAATACGGTTTTGATTAAAATACCAAACATGCCACATTCAAACTCAATCGTTTTTTTTTGTTGCCAAAAACAATTTTGAAAGAAATCATTTGTTTAATGTCATATTGACTTTAAACGTACTAAATATAATTTATAAATACGAATAATACAACTAAAGAAAAATAATAGTTTAGTGGTATTATGGAGGAAAAAGTCTATAGGCTGAAAAGGTACATTTTTTATTCATTTTCCAAATATGCCAGACCAGTTATTGAAAACTATAAACTATAAACTTAAGAGAAGAATTCCAACACGAAAAGTTAGTTATTAAAGACGGTAAATATGAAAAGAAGATTAATATTGATAAAGATCATGGCGAAATAATAAATGGAAATGAATTAAATATTCTTTTACAAGTGGAATATAGAACGCAAGTAAGTATTCTGGATACGTGGAGAAATATTCGAAAAACATCGTACCACCGGCACTGCTTGGCGAATTTGAAGAACCATAATTTTAATTAATTTAAATATTCCGAACACGAAGAATTATTAGACGGGGATGAAGAACGTAGGGGAAATTTTATGCATTTTTAAATTATTAACAACTACTAATTGATTTTTAAAAGATTCTCATATGTTTACAGTGTAGTTTTTGTAACTTTCATACAGAATATAACAAAATATAACTGAAAATATTTTTGACAGATGTCTGTAGAAGAAAATCATAATGGATTTGTCATATTGTGTTTGATCAGGACCGCATTATTTTAAATTTTCGCCTAATTTAGTGTTTTTGTATCTCTCATAACTCATAATTCTCTCAAAAGGTGCAAATAAATTTATCTGTAAAAAAATAAAAATAAATTTATCTGTAAAATAAAAACAGTTGACATTTTTAAATTTTATATGGGAGTTTCTATGTCCAGGTCGGCGATACAAAAACACACGCTATATTTTAGAATCACCACAGATAACATATAGTATGTTGTCTGTGGTATCATTCCGCTTCCACTCGTTAATTTTGAATTGACTGAATTCAATTGATGAACATTTGGATGAACAACGTCATGAATAACGGATCTTTGACGGACTTATCTCGGGTACGAACGTTTCGCCTGAATAACGGACAGTCCGTCATAATGACAGACGTCACTTTAATTTCACAGATAAAATATATTTTCTGTCATTTTTTGTATGTCCACTGTCAAAATCTTTCTTAACTCTTTGGACCGACTTGAATTGATAAAGATCATGGACATGGAGAGTAAAAGTTTTTAGTGATGTTTTTGTCAGAATTTCTTATCAAATTGATTCTAAATTATTTTACCTCATTGGCGGTGATGAAGAATACCATAGGCAGTACGCTGATGGTACCAACTATGAAAAAAGTAATGAAAACAAAATTAAATTTGTCTTTTGGTGCGTTCGGGTCATCTACTCTGAGTTCAGGCAAACCAGGAATGTCGTCCATTGGAATACGAGACCCTCTTCTGCTGGGCGGCAAACCTAAAAATAACAAGCGGAATTTTACCATATATGGTCAAAAAGTAATAAAATCGAAAGATATAGCCCTGATTTTGACAGTTAAGAAGTCATTTTTGCAGTGCTTTATTACTGTTTTTATACCAAATTTTCAAAAATAACAAATCGTTTAATTTTTTCAACGTTTTTCCACTTAAATGAGATAAAATCTTTAAAAAAATTAAAAAATTCAGAAGAAAAACAATTAAAAAATTTAGAACTTACCAAATTATTGTAGGTATATGAACTTTGAATATATTTTTTAAGAAATACTATACTATAAAGATTGTGACAAACTTCACAGTTCTTTGACTTCTACTGTACAACTGTCTCTTAACGGACAAGTGTAAAAAATATTAATATTTACACGAAAAAAACAGAAAGTAATAAATCATGAGATTCACGAGGATCCTTTTGGAATCCCCGATGAAATAACTGTAGTGGAATTCACGAAAAAAAAAGACGTAAAGTTTTTCTGCAAACAAATCCGAAATTTAACAAAACTTTAAAAATAATGTAAATAAACCGTACAAGTTTAGTGGTATTGTAATTAGAGATACAAAATATTTTTGGTATATATTGAATGTGACATTATATGCCACCAAGTCGAGCTGAGTCGTACCATCCTTTTTTGGAAGTAACTCACCCCCCTTGTAACTTCTATTGTAGATAAAGAAAGAATATTAATTTGCAGTGCACAAGAGGATATACTTTTGGCTGAATTGTTAATATACTGTTTATGTATTATTCTAATAATTTATTAAATTGCAAAAAAGGCAACGAAAAATGTGCTCGTCAAGTTTAAAGTAATATATACAGGGTGTCCCACTTAAGATGGATACAAGCCAATATCTTGATTGTTTGTTGAGCGACCTTTTTCATTTTTGGCAGGAGGCTGTATGGCTCTAAGATGTACATTTTGCCCAAGGTAAGAAATGCGATACCTCATAGACGTACGTTTTAATGGGGTTTGATATTTTTCGAGTCAAGAGTAAACTACTCTTAGGACAGTATTTATTTCGAATCTGATAAATTATATTGAATCTTCCTTACCTAAGATACTTAAGTTCTAATTTTGATAAATATTGATACAGGGTGTGTCATTAAAATAAGACATTTTTATTTTATTATTATTTTTGCTTTTTAAGTACCTATGACGCGCGACGCCACTGGATAAACAACTGGCTTATTAACCTATTATTAATTGATAATTGGTTACTATTGGTTATTGACAATAAACCTGTTGTTTATCCAGTGGCGTCGTAAGTACTTAAAAAATATAATAAAAATAAAAATGTCTTATTGTAATGACGCACCCTGTATCAATATTTATCAAAATAAACTAAACCCTAGGTAAAATGTACGTGTTATAGCCATACAGCCTCCTGCCAAAAATGAAAAAGATCGCTCAACAAACAATCAAGATATTGGCTTGTATCCATCTTAAGTGGGACACCTTGTATATTTTTTTATTTTAGCTCTATTTTCATGATTTTTTTTTAGCTAACTGTATATAAATATATCTACTTTTAATTTGTAGACTCTGTAGATGTTTATAAAATTTATTATTTGGCTTATTATACAGGGTTATTTAAAGCTTGACTTTTAACTTAACATCCTGTGCAATAATTTCGTGAGAAAATTTTCCTAAAACATTATTTTTCGGTTACAACCAGATATTCTTAGAATATTGTATTAGAATGTTAGAAGTTAATTAATTAATGGTCCTAAAGTATATTGATATTTATAAATTTTTCATACCTCCAGCAGTGATTGGTGGTGCAAATCCTGGAGGAAACTCGGCATTTGGTGGGGGAAATGGTGGCATGTCCTCATAGTTGAGAGAATACTTCGGTTTTTCAGCGTCATCTAAGAACAACAGCAAATATGATCAGAGAATATTCAATTATCAAATAATTATTATTCAATGTTCTTTTTTCGTTGTTTAAAAAGTATTATTCAAAAGAAGGTATTTACAGTTGAGGGTTGGAACCTTTGGTGTTACACAGCAAAATAAAAACACTAAATCACCACAATACACCATAACACTTTTACTTTTACTCTGGACGCGCGTTTCGCTAACCATGTTAGCATCATCAGCAGATGATTATAAACTGAGTTTATGACGTTAGCATCATCAGCAGATGATTATAAACTGAGTTTATAATCATCTGCTGATGATGCCAACATGGTTAGCGAAACGCGCGTCCAGTGTAAAAGTAAAAGTGTTTTGGTGTATTGTGGTGATTTAGTGTTTTTATTTTAGAAGATTTACCCTACTAGCCAAACCTTATACTAACCCTAGTTAGTACAGAGATTGTTTGTAAAACTAGGTTATCCTGTACCGGATCCGGCAATGAGGAAGATGCATATATTTTATTTTTCGCCAGAAACTGTTCAATTTATTAGAATAAATATGTATTATATTATAGGAGGTATATATGCACGACGCACTATTGGCGGACCCTGTATAAGGATACTAGAAGAGCAAAAAATATTAATAGAACTTTGAAGTACATATATGTATCTAATAATCAGAATCAATTGCTACATCATAGTAGCAAAGGTTATCAACTTAAAAAAAATGTATAAGTAAATATTATTACTCTAAAAACCCAGAAATTATTTTTTATTGGCACAGTGTCGTGAGAAATCATATTGTGAAAAAAAAAAATGATGTAAATCAATTGTTCTTCTAATCTATGGAATTCGGTGGTACTTGTACAACAAGTTAATTTGAAATTATTCCATCTAAAATTGGCTTGTAATTGGTATAATTGATTTACGTATTAAGCCGATATAGAGAACGAAACTTGAGAACTGGAAAAATCTACTTCCATATTCACAGTAATAAGTAAATGTGTGCATTTTGTAATTAAAAATTTTATATTTTAACTAATATATGTATAGCAAGTGTTAGTTATACTATTTATAACTCAAGAAAGGCCGAACCTATTTTGTGATCTTTGATTTGTATAATTCAAAAAACATCAATTTTTATCAAAGCTCTTATGATTTTTTTTCTTATATTTCAGTATTTAAACAGCCGTATGTTATATACATATATTAACGCGAATATCTGCGAAATCGTTAAAAATTTAGGAACAACTTTAAATACAAAAAAATCGTTCTTTCGTATTTTAATTATAAAAAAAAGAATTTTCAATATTACAATGTTTGCCACACCATAAAAAATATTCCGTATAAGGCAATATGGATTTTTCTTCACATATTTCTTTTGTCATCCTTGATTTTTAACTGAGTACTAACCAAGGTTTTAACCATTTTTTGGATATACTGTTTTAACACCAGTTTTAAGCTTTATTCAGAACATCAAAATTAGTGGGGTACTTTATGCTTTTCAGTTTACAATCATTCACAATGTCTAACAAATACAACTAAAATTAATAGTAATAATAAAATACCCTAGCAACATATTACGGTACTCAGTTGTATCCATAGAGAAAGCCTATAATAATTAGCTTATATTTACTCTATACAGAACGTCGGCTACCTCTCGCATGTACTTGTGATGTGTGTCATCAGTGTTTCACAAGTACACTGGATCTACAGTTTATCGCGGAATCCGAACTGCACTATTTGAGAGGCTGTACAAGGCAAATATATTCAAGGTGGTTTGCGCTACTGCCGGCCTAGCTTATAATAGCTTTGTTCGAGTTCTTGTTATTACCGATTCTGAACCGTCCTAGAACTCTGCAGCGTATGCACAAATGAAATAATGTCTTTATATTTCCTTCTGCGCATACGCATTACAGTTCTAGGACGGTTCAGAATCGGTAATAAGAGCAACCCGAAGTAAGCTATTATATTTAAATGTTTTGAAGTATAAAGCTTCATTCAGAACCTCGCCATTAGTGGAATAAATTAGTGGTTTCAATACTTTTTAGATTACGATCATTCATAATGTCTAAAACACAATTAAAGTTAATAAAACATCTCAGCAACAGCTTGCTGTAGTCAGTGGTCTCCATAGAGAAAGCTTAATATTTTTAGCTTATAAAACAATAAATTCTTGATCTCTAATCACAACTATTTCTCTTGACGGATGATAATCAAAAGCCAAAATGACATTCCTAGCAAATTTTGTAGTATAATTAGTGGAAAAGTTAAAAGTCTGTTAACCTTTTTCTACTAATTGTAAATTACTACCACTAATTTTGACGTTCGGAATGCTTATATTTGACAGTAGAGGAACAAACTTCTACGCTAATTGAAACCACTAATTTTTTCCACTAATTTCGAGATTCTGAATAAATTTCAATTAGTGGAAGTATGTTTTTAGAGTATAATTAGTGGAAAAAGTTAATAGTTTGTTAACTTTTTCTACTAATTGACAATTATTAATACCGCTAATTTTCACGTTGTGAACGCTAATTGAAACCACTAATTTCGAGATTCTGAATGAAGCTTAAGTAAATAACAAATAACTTGAGAACTCTACATAGTGCTTCAAGTAAAAAATAGTGTAGTATTGCAATATTTTAAGCTGTATTCAGTTTCGTACCGAAAATGCGGGTTGCAATTTAAAAAACTACAATTTTATTTTTATTTTTTTTTTCCTTTAAACAATTTTAAACACTTGTTTTTAAAGGATATTTTAAAAGTATTGTTAACATTAATTGAAGTTTTTCATTGAAGCTATTTATCAGCTGACTGCAAATATTTTTATTCGAAATAGCTTCAGCTGTAAAGATGCACCATTTTATTTATTAATTAATAAGAAATAACTACACTTACCTTTTTATTCGCCTGTAATTGGCATAAATATTTTAGCTGTAATCAACAAATTAAGAACCAATTTTAAGAAAAAAGTACAAAACAGTCTTAATGTTAAGTTAAAAAATTTAATTAAGTTATCTATTAAAATTTACTACTCTTAACTATAAAAATATCCTTTGTTATAATATTTTTTATAATCCATACACAATATCAGATTTATTTATTCACAATTTGAGCTTGATATACTACATAATACGATTTTTAAACAAATACATTTTTGAGTAATGTACCTTTATGGTGATTCATTTCTTCAAAAAATACTTCTAAGTATTTTGCCACTAGAAGAAAATCTATAAAATAAAACAGTCATTTTTGTTTCATTTTGTAGAATTTTTAGTGGCAAAATTCCTACAGTTATATTTGAAGAAATAATCCTTTCTTAACTTATTGTTGAATTTATTTGCTAAAAGTAAATTAAAATACTTTTAAGTTCATTTTTGATTCGTTTATGTTTAATTCGATTATTTTTTTTATTTATTTTTAATTTCCGAAATATCTTTAATTTACGTACAAATGAAAAAAATTACATCTGCGCAGTACACTTACCTTTTCTGTCAAGTGAAGGTCTCATGTTTACACTATACTTTGTATAATTAACTTAAACCAAATTCAAATATCTTTTAAGTCCGAGTCAAAAATCCAACTTAAAAAATATGCGATGTGAGTTTGGATTTTATATAATCATCCGGATTTAAAAATTTTTATCACTAAATCAAGGGGGATGAGGTAGCATGAACTACGTAGAACAATTAGATAATAAAACTCGCCGATTCTTTATTATTGTATACGTTTGTTTTTAAAGAGGCGTTTCTATTGTCAAAGCGTTTTAGAATAAGTATCTCGCCCAGGAATTTCGAGGGTTTTGGTTTTTTGGGAAAATACGTGTGTCTTTCAATGATTACCCGTACCATCGACTTTGCTGAGAAATATCGTGTATATAAAATAGCTGTAAAGTGCACGCTCATTCGTTCATATTGGCACCGCTTGAGCGGTGAGTTCGCGCGTCGGGCTACTGCCAGGGGCATCTGCCAGCTGTACAGGGTGGGTCAAATTCGACGCTTTTAAATGGAAACACCCTTTTCTATAGGAGATAGACGAAAACTAATATCGGTGTCTGGAACTCAATTTTCATCAAAAACATTATGGTGAAAACCGCACATCAATATCTGTTTCCGTTTCGGAGTTACGGGGTGTTTTTCAAAAATGTGCATTTTTAACAAATCGCTGTAACTTTCTTACTATGGAAAATTTTGTATTTCTATGAAAACATTTCCAAAGCACCTTTTTACGTAGAATTTAATGGTTTAAGTATATTTTTTTTAAATTAATAAATGAAGAGTTATCAACAGAAAAATGGATTTTTTATTTGGGACACCCCCTATATTTTTATTAAACTGAAAAGAATTTAAAATTACCTTTCCAAAAATATAGCACACTTGATATTTTGTTATAATCCCCTTCGAAATACAGAATTTTTAAAAGTTCACCACTTTTAACTAGTAGGCTTTGGACCCCTTATTGATGATATGCCCTTAATGGAACTCGAAAACATATTTTTCCAGCAAGACAACGCACCGCCTCTGGACGCTGAAGTTATCAGCAAATTTTTGCAGCCAATTTCAAAAATAATTGGATAGCTAACCAAGATCCCAGCCGTTAGCCGCCGAGGCCGCCTGACTTAGTGCCCATGGATCTAATCCTATGGATATATTTGCGGAGGAATAAAGGTTCCTATTCTTCCGTATAATCTAGACAAGAATTAAAAATACTTAGCAGTTATGAGAGGGTATCTTTCACCCCCACTAAGTGAATGAATTTCGCGAGAAATGTTCAACTCGCCGATTCTTTATTATTGTATACGTTTGTTTTTAAAGAGGCGTTTCTATTGTCAAAGCGTTTTAGAATAAGTATCTCGCCCAGGAATTTCGAGGGTTTTGGTTTTTGGGAAAATACGTGTGTCTTTCAATGATTACCCGTACCATCGACTTTGCTGAGAAATATAGTGTATATAAAATAGCTGTAAAGTGCACGCTCATTCGTTCATATTGGCACCGCTTGAGCGGTGAGTTCGCGCGTCGGGCTACTGCCAGGGGCATCTGCCAGCTGTACAGTCGTCGGTATCGGTAGGTTACCGACAGCTATCGGTACGTACGGCCAATGAGCGTCGTGTTGATTGTTGTCATAGTTTTAGCCATAGACAAACAGAAAAATTAAAAGACTGCCAGAAGACATACGACGCGCAGGCAAATGTACCTGTAGCGCATCGACGCAAGTGCCGAAATACGTCCATCTAGCTATCTGTGTTTCGACACTAGTCCGTTAGTCTTAGCATATTCAGAAAGAACACGCTAACATCCAGCGTTGCCAATTTGTGGGGAATTCCCCAAATTTTGGGAAATCCGGAGCCGATTGGGAGTTTTGTGGGGATTTTAGCAATAGGGGGCGAAAATAAGGGGAGTTTCAACATTTTATTGCTGATTGAAAATGGCGTAAAATTTTTAGCTTTAAAAACGGAGCGGGACGATATATCTTTCCCAACTTAAAAATTATAATCTGCTTTTTACTTGTGCTTCCCTTTGCAAATGCTTCAGTTGAAAGAAAATTTAGTGACCTCAAATTATTTAATAACTACTAGGGAAGGGATTAAAAAACAAGGAGGTAATTTACAGTTTAATCTCTCTAATATATATAATAAATATTGTATTTTTATTAAAATTATTTTTTTTTTGTTAAAATAATCATATGGGGAATTTTTGGTGAATCGACATCGCCAAATTGGCGAATTTAATTTAGATTTTTGGGTAGTTTAGAAAATTGACATTGGCAACGCCGCTAACCTCATTCTTTTGTTTGTTGTTTGTTCAAAAAGCGGCACGCGGCGTAGTACAAGGCTTGATCATTTTTTAAGAAATTTTTGATTGTTAATTTTATTTTTCTGCAAACTAAACAGTTGTTTTTTTATTAAAAAATAGCAGACAAAGGTAAGAAAGGTAATGTCCATGCCTAAGTTTTTATTTCACTGGCTATTCTTTCTAGAAATTATACCATCCAGCCCTCCTATTTAATTATTAAATGAAAGTGTGAAAGAGATATCAAGGGCTATTCTGTTAAAATATCATCCGACCAGTCTAGGCCCTGTTGTGAACCTAGGGTTCCCAACCGTCCCGGTTTGGCCGGGATTAACCAGGAATCAGAAAGTTTGTCCCGGCGAAAGTTTTGTCTTGGCCGGGACCTGGTAACTAAAAAAGTGTGTACTACACACATAATATATTTTTTTCTCTAATATTTAATGTTTTGTTTCAATTATTTAAAAGCTTAAAGATAATTGTCCCGGAATCGCCGATGCTCAAGTTGGGAACCCTATGTGAACCAGAAGGTCTGCTAAGTTGGATGTTGGATATAGAATGGAAGGAATATCATGGCCGAGAACAAGGCATAATTGTATGTCCCTTTATGTAGGGGGGTAGGTTTGTTTCTAATAGGCAGTAAAACCAAAAATTCTACTGTGAATCTTCATATTCTAGGCCTGTAAAGGTAAATAATTCCTGGAGCCATCTCGAGGTATAGTACTCAAGTCGGAGCGAATCAATTGATAGCACGATGAAAAGAAATAATAGCCATCATAAAACTGTAAATATGTATATAACTAGTACAATGTAGCTATTTAACTGTAAGTACAATGTAGCTAGATATTTAGTAGAATAGGGGTATTATAAATTAATACAAAATACAATAATTGGTCATTCTTTCCATTCCCATTAAATTCTTCCCATTTAATCGTTTTCCCATAAAAAAAGGAAAATTAAAATTAAGAGTGCCCTTAACCAAAAATAGTGAAATAAATGGAGATCAAATTTTATATTAGCGTGTAAGACTTTGAATAAAAAGGTGTAAAAGGATTATAAATGCTGTATTTATATCCTTTAGTATCATGATAATATAAAATTTGAGTAGGTATCTCCATTTATATCACTGTTTTTGGTTAAGGGCACTCTTAGTTTTAATTGCCTTAAAAATAATAAGTATAATAATAATTTAAATCTCCCGCTCTTTCATAGTTCGTACCTGTAGCCAAGTAGGGCGCTAAAAGCGCAATCTCCCAACATTTTACCACGCGATTCACCACTCTCTAAACTATTAACTTTCTCTATGGTTTTAGCTGTCATTAATAGGACATATAGCAAACTTGTATCGACGACTCTCGGTATCTCTACCGTGAGGTTAACAAGGGCACGGTAGAGGTAGGGGAGCGGGGGGCACGTTGTTACAATTTTTAGATAATTGTCAATATGACAAAAGCTATTAAATAATTTATACATTTTATTGCTTTTATCGTTAGTATGTCTATTCAGCTATTAAAATATGATTGAAAGGTTATTAAAATTTATGTAATTTTTTCACAATGAACAATTTAACCAAAAGCGTCGATTGTAACAACATACACCCGATTTGGGGCTAGTTGTTACAGCTTCGGGGCACGATGTTACGGTAGATACATAAACAAAATCATCAATAATAAATCATTTTTTTATTATTTCAAAGCGTTATAAACAAAAGATATAACTTAAAACAGCCTTTAACATTTATGATTAATTATAATATCTACAGCATCGAGGAAAAGATCCGTGTATTTCACTCTGGATAACACGAACATCGGCGGAACTGAATTTCCAGCAGCATTTATGGGACATGCAAGTATGATAAATATTCCTTTTTCGGCAGATGAGATCGCATAGACCTATTTTTGACCACGGACAGCAACTATTTTTTAGGCTTCTGTACCTTTGTGACACCTGTTTCGTCAACGTTCCATATGCACAAAGCAGTGAATTCATATTTTTGGAGTAAGCTTTGCAGATTGTCAAAAAATCTTTAACGTTGGTTCTGTTGAACGACGTTGCTCTACTCAAAGATGTAGCTTCTGGTGTTCATAGAGATAGTTGAGGATTTCTATCCATAAAACTTTTAAACCTGTCCGGCCCAGTCATATTATTTTTAAGCCAGCTGGGGGGAATATTTGTTAATTCGAGTTTTACAGCACATTAGTAAGCTAGTTTTCGGACTTCTGTTGGTAGTAAACCAAAATATATTTCTAAACTTTAAGAAGATAGTTTTGAGTAGATAAGAAGCTAATTTATGTTCTGTTTCTTGTGAGAATACCAATCTAGGTTGAACGCAACCCAATGAACAAGATTCGTTGTTTTTGTTTTTTCCGACATACCTGGATAAGGGACATCGGATACAAATTAAACATTTTGCTTGATTTACGAATTTCCGTTTTATTTTGCAGTATTTCTGCTGCAGAAGATTCATAGACTTCTAGACTAGTTGTACTTCTTTCTGTTTTTCTTTTATAGTTTCTCATTCTGAAAAAAAAATCAAAGGGTATTTCTAATTTTTTAAAATATGAAGACAAACGGTACAAGGCATGGTATTTTTTTGTTACATGTAACAACTTAATATACTTAACAACAATATAAATTGAAGTCAGGCATTAATGGATCTCGATAGTAGAAAAAAACAACATTGCAAATTAAAGGTAGATGTGTTATGAACGTTCAAGGTTAAAATTTTTGAGGAAATAAAAAATACAGACATCAGAAATCAAAAATTTCGTAAAGAATTTGTTTACTTACTGGGTTCAAATCGAGACACATGCATACAACTTAGCAGCTTGGCGCTTTACGGGTCACTGATCATTTTTATGTAATGCACGATGTTATGAGAAAACAAATGAGTCCACTTATG